TTTTGAGTTAGTTGTTATATTGGTATATTACCAAGAGACAAACAAGTTTAAAACTACTATGAAGTTGATTTCATTAACCAACTCAATATCACTAGTAGTAATAAAGATTAATAATGCAATAGATATAAATAACAACTCTTATCTTAGTTTGAGTAGGTTGTTCATATCTTCTTATTCTTGTATTGGAGGAGGTTCTAAATAAAGAAGTCACATTAGAAGATCCTCCAATGTATCTCCAATGGTTTTTGTAGATATTAAAAAAAGATTAGCAAAGTCTAGGAACATCCAAGGATGTAAATAAAGTAAATTTAAGACATTCTTTTTTATTAGATATTAAAGATAATGTGCTTGATTGTATTTAGTCCATAAAAAATAATATTAAAATTAAATATTTATACATGATTATTATTTTTTATATATCTAATAAAATTAATAAAAAAAAATATAAATTTATGTGTAGTGCAAATCCAATGTTATTAGTTTTTTAAGAATATATACAACTATCAACCTTTGTATTTCTAATTACTTGTAGATATAATAAAACACAATATTTCAATTAATTTATCCTAAAATAAAAAATTAAAACTAAGATACACATTTTTATTGATTTGAATAGACTTTTGGTGCATTGAAATAAACATGGTAATTTCTGCAATGTGACAAATGGCTGAATTGCATTTATTTATTGATTTTATTAAAGTAAAACTATCATCTTTTGGAAATTTTTACTAGAAAAATATTGATAACATGACTAATAATATTCTAAGAAGTAATTTATTTATTAGGTTTCAAATCCTTCTTATACATTAATTAGTGTCTATTCTATTAAAGGCTATTAGAGAAGATAATTTGGCAAAGTTTTGTTATTTAAAGGATATTAGGAAGATTGAATTTCATACAAGAAATCTTTCAATCAATAAAAATTACATCTTATTTATTAATAGGAATCCAAAAAAGAACCATTTGAATTTGAATTTTAAGTTATTAATTTTAAGACATAGTTAAGAGAACATAATATAATTTAAAGTAATGTTCTCTAGCCATGTCTTTGAGGACTTTATTTTTATCAAATCAAGTAGAATATGTAGAAGCCAACTTATTGCTAAAAATTTAATATTTTATAAATAAAAGAAACAAATATGTCCAACCTATCATAGGAGGCATCAACTTTTATATTTATTTAGATTTCTTTTTTTCGATTTCTTTCTTACAAACATTAAAAAAACTAAAATAAAACATTTTTATAGTAGAAAATTATCACTTAATGGATACTATCTTTAAAAAAAAATTATTCAACCCCTAAATATTTTAGATTGTTTGGATTTATTTTTTTATTATAAACATTGGAGGGCCTCAATATCATGTAATATTTTTGTATCTATAATTACCATAGGATATTCTATTGGAAGACCTTCTATTTGAATAATTTTGTAATAATAATCACTAAATCCAATTTCATTAAAAGATTCTTTAATCTAATGTCATGGCAAATATAATTATTTGTTGATATTTATTAGAAAAGACTCCAATTTGATATTTTAAGAAATTTGTCCAAAGACATGCTTAAAATAACATGATATATTCTTAAGTAATATTTTATAGCTTTGTATTTAAAGGCTATTCTTATCAAACCATGTAATTTCAATATAAATAAAGGTTAATCTATTGTCAAACAATCAATGGTACGTAAATTAGATAATTAAACTAGTCCAATACATCAAAGAAGATCTTTAGCTTTAGACCCATTTAGATATATTTTTAGATCTCTTTCTTGAAAAAAATTGAAAAAATTCAATAAGACTTTTATATAATAAAAATATTCTATCTTTTATTCTATTATTGAGTATATTTTTATTTTTTACTAGAAGAAATAATACTATAATTGACCTTGTTTAGTTTTGTTCTTTGCTCTTTGTTTTTTAAAACCTATAGAAACAAAAAAAAAAAAAAAAAAAAAAAAAAGAAAAAAGTAGACACTTACTTCAAAAAATATATATATCTTGTTAATAAATATTATACTTTTTTAAGCAATATGATAAATATTCACTGCCTTCTTTTATAGTAGTAAAAATATCTAGATGTGATTAAGGCTTGAATAATTTTTTTCTACTTACTTCAATAATTCTATATTTAAATATGGTTAAATATGGATAAAAATTTAAAAAAGATCAATTATAGTATTATTTCTATTTCGATTTTAATTTTAATTTTTTTAATATCTTCTATTATTTTAATTTCAATTTTTTTAATGTCTTCTATTATCTAAGGTTTCTTTAAACTTCTATGTTTAAATACTTGCTTTAAAAATCTGCTTTAAAAATGTCATCCAACGCATCTTTTTTAAAGACATTAAAAAAATCACTACTTGTAAATGGACAAAATAAGTGTTGTAAGCCATAAAGTTAACATTTTTTCTTCAAATACCTTTATGTCCTCTTTTTCTAGTAAAATTCAAAACAATATTAAAAATCCAATTAGGTTCTTGTAGTAGATGGTTGTAGTTACCAAAACATGTTTAGTAGATATTTTTCATGTTATTTTTTATCTTAATGGCTTAGTATGTTTTTATTCCTTTACAAAAAGAATGTCATTTTTAATGTTTGTAGAAAATTATGATATTTTTAACTATGCCTTCAATTATATAAGTTTGTGAGATATTTTTTAAAAAAAATCAAAATTGATGGCAAATTTAGGCATAATTTTCTTAAAACTGGGCATATTAAGCATCTTACCATCAAGCCCACATGTTAGATGGATTTTTATGCTAAATAGGATTATATATTTTAGAAAATAGTTATATACATTTAAATTAGTTGTAGTGCATATTTGTACTACTATTTACATTAATCATGGCATTTGACTTATTTTAAAAAATTGGATATACATCATGCATGTATTATGTAAATTGCATTATGTTTTATTGTTTGGTTATAATTAAAAGAATTTTCAATAGGATTTCTATTAGAAGAGGTTTTTGGCAGATATTTGTTTATAATTTGTAGACTCTTTTATAGAGAGCCTTCTTGAAAGGGCACCTTCTATTAGAGGATCTTTTGTAAAAAAGCTTAATAAGCCATCTTAAAATGGAACTTCTATTAAAGGGTCTTTTATAGATTTTTTAAGAAAATTTATTATTCTATTAAAGAATCAAAATTATTTTTTCTTATCTTCAAAAACTTGAAGAGTTTCATGTTAAACTTACTCTAAAACTCCAATATTATTATTCCAAAATTTTACAAAATTAGTGAAATATAGCATATATATACATATTCAAAAAATAAAAAATAAAAAAATAAAAACAACAACAACAACAACAACAACAACAACAACAATAATAATAATAATAATAATAATAATAATAATATTGGATTCTTTAATTGTATTAATTTAAACTTTTAAAATTTATTTATTTATTATGTTGCAAAATAATTGAGATGATTGTTAGATTAAGTATGGTATTCAATGTTTCAAAAATTGTATCAATAGTTTTTTTTTTTTTTTTTTTTTTTTTTTTTGTTTTTTTTTTTTAAAGTTACACAATTCAAATTGTAATAGTTGATTAATTTTGATATTTTTGTGGAGAATGGCTTATAGTTGAAACAACCTAAAATCTTAGATATGAATATGAATTTTAATATAATGACATCTACAAACATGTGATTTGCCAACAAATTTCATAATTCAATACAAGAAAATTATAAAAATATATTAAAATATATGTAGTTTTTTTTATTAAGATTTATTAAGTTTAATTTTTTTTCTAATTTTTTTTCTAATTTTTTTCTATAAATAAATGAAGATTTTGCTATTGCCACTATAATTACCATCTATCAAATGTCATGGCAATTTTTGTTGTTGCTACCACAACTTATGCTTATTAAAATTTTAATTATTATTTTTATTAAAATTAAATCATTTTTTTACATAACTTAAATAAAATATTTCATCAAAGTAATTTAATAATTTTTCAATTAAAAAATAATTTAAAATATGTTGAATAGATGGTAGATTGTGATGGCAATAGCAGAAATTGTGGTGGCATTGGTAACATCCTAAAATATACACCAACTTAGAAGAGTCCATGTATTAGCAATATTTTACTTTATGATATATAAATGCATATCATTTGGGGTTTTTTATGCCATATTTTTTTATATATTTATGATTATATTAAAATAAAATAAAGATATAAAAATACCAAAATCTATAAATTTTTATTATTTAATTCTAATTAATCATGCTTGTATTATTATTGCAAGATAAAATTTGTTTACTTATTTTACTATTTTTTATATTATTTGGGCTATAATTTGACAACCCAACTATGCAAATTAATCCTTTGATCTACAACATTGATTTTAAAACTATTTTTATACATGTAAGGTCTGCAAGTAATAAAAGTTTGACCCTTCTACTTCAACCAGTAGTAACTGCCTTCACTCTTGCAGAATTCTCCCAATCCATGCAAATTTTGGTTTATTAATAAGCCTCTGAAAAAAAAAGAATAGCTCTTTGAATCTAATTTATTGTTGTATTTTTTTTTTGTTTTTGAATGACCTCTTATATGTCTTCGTAATACACATATATATATGATTCCGACAAATTTATCTCAGATTAAGACAGATTTTCTCAGGGAATTTAAGTACAGAAAAGCTATAAAAATATAGAAAAATCAAACAAGTTAATTATAATAATTGGTGCGCTCCCTCGAATTCACCCCGAAACAGGACTGATGATAACATTGTCTTCACTCGTTCATTACAATCAACGTGGATGGAAAAGAACCCACAACTCCAAGTCACACTTTGAATCTAGACTTTGAATCCTCAATAGTAAGAATCTACAATATTCAATGTCAACTGAAGATAAGAGCGAGTCTGCTGTCGGTAGTTAGCGTGTGAACAAGGATAGGTCCTAAATTTTTCCTCGTATGTGTCTGTATGAATAGTGACTTTTTGAAAAAATAACGATTTGAAATTTGAGAATTACATCCAGAAACACCAGAGTGGTTCTCTTGTTGAGGACTTAGGGTTCAAATGCAGGCATCCTCCCGGCCACGCTTCGTCTTCTGCACCGAACGGCATCGCTCTTCCTCTCTTATTTGAGTGGTGCTGTTTGTATAGAGGTTTGAGGATCGTAGATTTGGTGTGGAGAATTGTTTTAGTGTGGACATGGCGTCGAATTCAGAGCTTTGAGGGGGCTGTTTTGGTGCAGTGTAGCGGGTAAGAGAGTGTGTTTGGAGGAGAGACGGAAGGGGGCGTGTCGAGGGGGTTGAATGTCGGGCACAATGGCGTTGGAAGGATCACACGCCGACGAGGGATACGCTAACACCGGCGAGCCTAAGTATGGGCCTGTGTTGACGATGATGAGCAAGAGGTTGCGGGCGTTGAAGAAGAAGTATAGTAGGATCTTGCAGATAGAGGAGAATAAGAGGCAGGGGAAGGCTGTGAATAAGGAACAAGAGGACGTGCTCAAGGCAAAAATCGGCATCGCAGCGTTGATTGATGAGTATGAGAAATTACGGCAACCGCTAATGATTGCTGTCAAGGAGGAGGTGGCGGAGCGGGAGAAGGAACTGTTGGCTGCGACGCTGGAGAGGAATCAGGAGGAGGAGAGTGTGTGCGAAGGTGAGAGTGAGACTGCTGCTGCATCTAATCTGGATTCAGAACTGCGCACGGACTCTGGAAATAGAGAAGAGGTGGACACGATTGTGGAACTTGGTGTGAATGGAGGTGAGATCGATGCTTCGGTTGAAGCGCAAGAGGCGGATGGCTTTGAACCTCAGAGTCAGGATGTATCTGGCAATGAAGTGGATAAGCTCGCAGGTGTCGAGGAGGAGAGTATCGTGAGGAAGAATACGGGTGTTGTGCGTGAAGATGTGTTTTCAGAAAGGGACGTTGCAGACCTGTTGAAGCTTTTGTATTTTGCACATCTATTCGATGTGAGGTCGCCAGGTGAAGCGCCTTCTCTAGTATGGACAAGGGTTCACGAAAGAAGCTCCTGCCTATCCTACGATTTCGTAACTGATGATTCAACCACGCCTCTGATTGAGTCTGACCTAGATGCACTATCATTTTTTGGATCAATGTTGACATCTCGGCCTCCGAATGAAACATTGTCGCATCGAGATGCTCTTCAACGCTGCATTGAGCATGCGAGAGAATGGCTTCGGAATTCTGATCGCGTCATTCAACCAGAAAATCACACCTCGTGTATCCTTTCCAAATTTTATTCTTCATTTGATTTGGAAAGTCATCTTTTGGAGATTCATTAAGCGATTCGTTGCTTCTATGTGTTTACACATATTATCTATTTTAGTGTTTCTTGACGTTTCATTACAGATTCACGACTAAGGGAAAGGTTAACTAGAATTCTCTCGTCTGAATATTTCACGATGACACCGGAGCTGCAAACTGTTAGTCAGCAAACGGCTGCTGCTGCTGCTAGTGCTGCGGGTCAGTATCTTCCCACTAAGGATGTGTATCAAATCATAGCTCCCGCTTACAATGTTCCTCAGGTGAGTACTTACCTGTGGAGGACATCAAGCATGGTTATTAATCAATATCGACGGCATTTCTTTTGTTCTTTCCACCTGAATGTTTCATTGAGATTTCTTTTTGCTTCCTTTACAAGGTTCTATTATTTTGTGACTTGGGTTTTAGGATGAATTGATGGATGTGTTTTTGTTGTGTCGTAACCGTTGAGCAGAACCTAATTGTTCAGCTGATTGTGAACTACGCAGGAGCCTGAGGCACCTGTACCACAAATTTGTGAGTTTGGAGTATCAGGGACTAATGGAGTTCCTTCAACTTCAACTCCTCTGATCTTCATGACTGAGACCTCAGTCCCCGCTTTCGAAATGCCGCAAGTACGTTGCTAGGCTCCAATGAATCTGAATGTCAGTAATGTAACCTACTGTACGTAATAGTCTCATCATATTATTCTTAACGACTAATTCTCTCCTGCTAATTATGTCAAATCGTCTGCGAGTGAAGTGATTATTCAAGTGAAGGAACATTTTCTTGTGGATTTTCCAGTTCGGTAGCCATGGAAGCCATGAGGAAACAAATGTGCAAGTCCAAGAAGAGACTCGAGAAGTTCGAGCTGCAGAGCGAGAAACTGAAGAGGTAGCAGGGGATGACAGTCAACCCCAGCATTCAATACCATCCCATCAACATTACCTGCATCATCAGCAGGGTCCACCCCAGTCTGGAGGCAGAGGTGGTGTGGCATATCAACAGCAGGGTGCTGGAGGTCCTCAAAGAGGGGCTCGTGGCATGCCAGGAGTTTACCAAGGTATTGGGGGCCGGAATGGCGGCCGATTATATATGACTAATGGGCGTGGGGGCAGAGGACGAAGTGGCATGTATCCCAATGGTGGACGTGGTCAGTTTAATGAGCAACAGCCTGGAGGTTTTCAGCCTACTTATAACAATCCCTACTGGTTTGGAGGTGGACGTGGTGGCAGCGCTGGTATGACTTACAACGGACAACAACCAAATGCTGCTGTCTCTGCTACTGCAATAGCTCCAAGCTCTGCTTAAATGTTCTGCTTAATGCACGCTAGTCTTCAAGGTTCTTAGAAGTCGATATGATTCTCACATTGTTCTAATTGTGAATGAAGATGATGACTCCCGTCATTCATTTGCTGCTAACGACACAATTGGTATGGAATGGGTACAGATGATCTTTTGCAGATAATTTCAGTACCTTTTCTGGATTATTTGGTGATGGTTTTTCTCTGTTTGCTGATCAGGCGGCATAGCTTTTACTTAAACTTGACTAGTTTTATTGCTATTTCCTACGGATATTTTTTCGCTTTAGAGATCTTTACAGAGTTGATTCTTACCTATAATTTTACTATTCGTTCTTGACGGTGGTTCTCCTCAATCTTCACATTCGTCACGAGGTCTATATACTGCAGTGTGTAGGTACAGAACTATTCGAGAACACATGTGGAGGTAAAATAACACCAGATCTAAACAGTTTGCGAGTGTTAAATCAATCCAGATGACATGGGAGATACTGCAGCCGGAGTTTTTTTAATTTTTTTTTTTTTAACTCACTGACTATCTCTGCTGCTTGTGTTATTAATGTTAGTATTAATAATGTACAAAACATGCGGCCATTGCCTTGCACTTGGTTCCACAGAGCATGAAGCAAAACATAGAGCATCATGACACACCACGTTGGTTATCTTACTAAAGGCATAAAGATGGTGTACATTGATTATCTTACTAAAGATGTAAAGATGTAGGATGCATGCGGCATGGACAATAGTACCCACTTGAGTTTTTCTATTGCTCCATTTGATTAGTGCATCATTTTTATGTCTATATATTTCTTGTCACCTATGTCCTGTCCCATTTGGTTATAAAATTGGTGATAAGGTTCAGTTGTAATATCTATCACTTTTGTTATTTTCTATGAATTATTTTCAAATTCAATATTATTCATCCATATCAATTTTTTGACTTAAAATAAAACCTGAACTTCATTATTTTACTGGGTCTATGTATACCACAAATGTAATCTTCTAAAGAGAGACCAAATCAAATGAAGATGTTTAAATTAAATTGGAAGGAGAGTAACAAAAACAACTTGGTCCCTTGAAAATGCTTTGTACGGCCTTTAACTTTTATACCTTAAAATCATCTTGTGTACCAGAGAAGTTGCTTAATTTCATATTGATTTAAGTTGATGTCATTCCTAAAAACAATACATTAATATTTTAGAGATTAATAAATTGCAAAGTAGGCAAAAGAAGAGATGTTAGAATGCCTTTATATATTCTAAATATTAACAATCAAGCTTTTTGTTAGATAAGTTAGATAAACATTACTTTCTTTCTTAGCTTAAATGCCAATATACATCTTTAATCACTCAAAATGAAAATCTTGTTTCAAGCTGTTAGACTATTTTTTATTTTTGGTAAATTTTATTCTCAATGAATATGGTATATTAATTGAGTGCCCAACTTCTTTATATAGTCCATGAATTTGTATTAAGTTTTTTATTTGTAATTAAAGAGATCAAACTTATTGACATCAATAGACCTATAAAATAGTTTGAGTGTTCTTGGATTATATTGACTCCATTTTAGCAAAGGTACAATTCTCACTACATAAGCAAATCCATCCAACTTAAAGAGATTGTTCTCTCCACTTGCTTTGGCTTTTACTTCAACTTATCAGATGTCTCTTTATTCCAATATAAGGCATGTGATTAGGAAACTACCTTATAAAGGTCTAATATCTTAGACTATGTTAATATAATATTACATTTAATGATGGAACTAAATTGGAATTGGAAAATCATTGATAGTATAGTATCCTCTATTGTGGTACAAAGACCAATCTATTTATCTTCTTTAGGTGCTTGCCTTTTGTTAAGAATACTATATATGAAAGAGATAGAGAAATGATATAGTATTTCTAAAATTCCTTGTCTTTTTTCACAATTTTTTTTTTTTTTTTTTTTTTTTTTTTTTATATATCTTAATCTACTCAAAGTCCAATGATTTATTTATTTTGAGTATTAAGAATAATATAAAAATATTCTATACTATACTTATGTAATTGAGTACCTCTTGTAGAGATAATGGAAATTATAACAAAAAGATATTTCAAATTCCATTGTAAAGACATGTCTATAAGGAGACAAAAGTAATAAACACATGATAAAAGGATAATACTTGTTACAATTGTTCTTCTTGTTATATTGAGTTTAGTATAATACAAAGTTTTGATTTAGTTCGAATCTTTAATAATAAAAAACTATGAAGTCTTTAATATTAAAAAAAGACCAAAAGGTATATTTAGTAGTTTATTTATATCTTTTGGTTTTTTCCACCTCTGATTAAAGATATCGATCCATTGAATTTTTAAAAAAAATTAAATAATTTTAAAATAATTTTGCTAATAAGTAACTAAATTATTTTACTTAGTGTGAAGGTTGAATAAAAGTTAAAACAAATTTAAGAATTTGATAACTTAATGTATGTATGTATGTATGTATATATATATATATATATATATATATATATATTAAATAGATAAAATGGGGTTTTTAGCATATTGACATATTATTTGTTATATTTTTTAAAAAATATTTTATTGCCCTTGATTTTTTTGTTTCTTTAGAAAAATAATTATCCAAAATTTGTACTTCTCTTATAAGAAGGTAAAGATAAGGTGCCAAAAAACAATGTTATTGCACTTCTTTTTATATGGTCATGTGTTTAGATTGAAATGTATTAATTATAATATCTATTTTTTTTACAAAAATAGACTATTTTAAATAAAAAAATTAATAGTATAGTAAAAACCAAGTTTTTTCATAATTAGAAATATAAAAGAACCTAAGATCTTTTTATAAGCTTTTGAGAGATCCAATCATAACAACATTATTGATTGCTAAGACTGTTTTTCCTAGTGTATGCTTTCTTGAGTAGCCAAAATATTATCAAATTTAAAATTCAACCAGAGTAACATATTTTGATCTAGATTAATTATCTCCATAAGTATTGATTGATAAAAAATTCGAGAAGCTTTAGTATGAATATTGTAAGAAAATTTTATCACTATAATTGAGTTTAATTTATATATATATATATATATCGTAGTATAATATTTCTTCAAATAATACTACAATAGAAGGTCTTTCTATAAAATATTTAAAATACCATGTTAAATTTTTTAATGTTTCTAAAAAAAAAAATTGAATGTTTTTAATTTTTTTATTTCTAAGAAATTCTACAAACATTTAGAAATTTCTTGATGTTTATAGAATAAATTTCTAGGATTATTTCAAAGCATAGATAATCTTGAGTAGGATTTTTTTATTTTTCTAAGTAATATAAAGGAATTTTTGGTGTATTTATTCTCAACCTTCCTCTAATGTACTTTGGTTCTAATTCTTTTATTCTATAAATTCCACTTGTATTGTATTTGCCATTGGGCCTTTGCTTTAGTAAGTTTTATTTAATAAGCTTAAATAAAAAAAAAATCTTTGTAAAAATGATTGTGCACAATTCACTTTAGATTTGAAATTTTTTTAATTACATTCTATTATCTTATTTTTAAAAAATTGTTTGAATAATTTAAAATAAAATGACTCAATTTCAATTAGAGATTTATTCTTTTATTAAAAAAATGACCAAATTCTCTTCATTTCTTTTATCCATAGCTGTTTAATAAGACTTTATTTATTATATAACAAAATATTATTATTATTTGAAGAAAATAATAAATTTATTTCCTATATTGGAAGGTGAATAGATTATTTTATGTTTATTTATTTATTTTAAATATTTTATATTTAAAAAAATCTTCATTACTATAGAATTGATCTAATCTTTCTAAAACAAATACATCATCTTTTAAAATATCTTATAAGAATCTTAAGACATCACTATAAAAAAAATCTTTTAAGTAATATTAAATGTTAAAAAATCCTCAAGTATTATTTTTATTTTTTATGGTGTTTTTTTTTAAATAATGATAATTTATCAAAATTATACTCAATTATGTTCTAATTCCTTTTAGATATCCAAAGCATATTATTTATAAGTTTACTAATCATTTCTATCTTTAAGTCATTTATCTTTTCTAAAATATTCAGAGTATAAATACTTGCAAGCATAAATATTATGTTGAATTGTCTTTTCATTTGATTTATATTAAGTTTTTGCCACAAAGAGATCTAACCTTAGAAATTAGATACATAATATATAAAAAATTAAAATATACAAATATCCAACTTTAATATTATCTTATTTAAATGCTATGTATATAACTCTATAATAAAAATATTTTTATAGAATCATTTAATTTCCTTACATTATAAGATAGAATATCTATTATTATATATAGTCAAAAAATATCTTAAAAAATGAATGAGATATTATCATATTACATATATTTCTATGTTGAATAGAATATAATTAAAATTCATATATATTATTTCTTATTGGAGAAACAACTATGTCTCTCTTGTAGTTAATACATTAAATAAAGATTGAAGATCATTGCTAATGTACAAGTATGTTTTAATTCATACCCCCCAAAAAAAAAAAAAAAAAAAAAAAAAAATCAATTTATTATTATTCTACATCTCTTTGAATTTTTTGTAAATTGGACATACTTTTCTTTATGCTAGACATTTATCTATTAAAAGATAGAAGTGACAATATGGTTATATTAGCTATAGAGCCAAAATACAAGCCAAAGACTTTTAATGTTACTAATCACATTATATTCTAAAATAATCTTTCATTCCAAATTAAGACAAAGCCTATCTACCATTTCAAAATACTATCAATCTACCATTTCAAAACACTTCTAATTTACTAATCAAGACATACAAATCCACAAAACTTGACATGAAATGTGAATCTTCTAAAAGACTTCTATTTTGGTGGGTTGCACATATGTCCTTATGCTTGTAAATATGAATTGTGTACAAAAACTAATAATGTGGTACTAGTGGTATAAGCTTGCTACTTTGTACCAACATACAATAAGTAATTGAATTATATTACAATATTGCTGATGTGAAAAGAATAACATTGAAAACTAGGTTAAGATTTCTTTTTGCATTATAAAGTCTTTCATTGACCAATATATATATTATTAATCATTATTAAATCAATTAGACTTTAATTTATTGTGCATAAGACTTATAAACCCTCTATTCCTTGTTTTTTTATTGCATTATATTTCTATTAAGATAGCAAGAATTGGTTGCTGACAAATTAACAAAAATGGTTATTAAGGCACACTATTAATTATGATAAAAAGAAATAAGCATTGCTAGTTAGAATTCCAATAAAAAAGATAAAGAAGTGTAGTAGTAGTGCTCTTTGTGTAGCAATAAAGTTAT